CCTTGGTTCACTTCGAGTAGATCCTTCTGGAAAGGGAGTGAGAGACAGGTTCTAGGTCAAGGGGCATGTGGTGTCCCACCAGTGTCACGAAGGGCGCTTTGATCATTCCGCTGGCCCCTCGTTCCACACTCACTTGTGAAGACCTGCTAGGTGACACGTGCCAGTGTCACCACTGCCAGGGTGGAAACTGGGAGGGGTGTCCTCTCCCCAAGGACTCCTGCACACACCCAGGGTTAGGAAGAAATGCCCACTGCAGAGCCCCAGCGCCAGAGGACAGCCCCCCTGGGCCACTCTACAAGCTAAAGATCCCACACACGCCTCACCACACACACACGCACACTACGCCACACATGCATACACCACACACATCTCATACACACACCCATACACCACACACACGCACATCCTAAGCCACATACACACACATACCCTATACACACACCCATACACCACACATACACACACCCTACGCCACACACACACACCCCCCATACAACACACGTACACCCGACACCACATACACACACACAACCTATGCCACACAAACACACCCTGTGCCACACACACACACACACCCTACACCACACACACTCAAAGCCACACACACACAAACACACTCTATGCCACACACACATCCATATACCACACACACACACTCTATGCCACACACACACATCTATATACCACACACACACTCTATGCCACACACACACATCCATATACCACACACACATACTCTATGCCACACACACACACACACACACCTTATACCACACACACACCCATATATTACACACCCTCATACACTACCCATACACTTATAACACACACACACACCCCACACCCCATACACCACCCACACACATATACCACACTTACACATACACCATTCACACATGCCATGCACCACCCCCCCACATACACCACACACATACATACACCACACACACACACACACCCCATACACCCCCCCACACAGACTCCCTGTACACACACTCAGCTTTGCAGTCTCTGGTTCGACCCCAGTGCCTAGCCCAGGGACCTTGGCATTGAAAATGATGTCACTGGAAAGTAACTCATCCACTAAAGTTAAATGGAGCCAGGCTTGAAGCTTTGACTTTATTATTTCTCCTAAAAGGAGACCACATTTAGTATGAAGGTGTACAGTTGGTAAAAGCAGTTCTCTTAGCTTTTTATTGCAGAAAAAAAATGGAAATGAATATAAGACCTTGGTAAGCACCCACCATGCTTGAGTTGCAGCAGAACCAGCGTGTCTGCATCCACGTCCATTGTGTCCCAGGGGACAGCCCTGGAGCTTGCCCGCCAGGACCCACTTCAAAGCACAGCTTCACGGGGAGGGTGCCTGTTAAATGGCCGGCAAGTTCACGGCCACATAACTACCTGCGCTTCATCTCATCAGCTGCCCTCTACACGTCGGCCAGTTCTGACTTGAGGTGCGCCCGTCACTGCATGGCCCAGGTTTGCAGGCAGACCAGTGAAGGAGGGAACCTGCAGAGCGAATGGGAAGAGAGCCGTTCAACCTCTGCCCATGCAGACACCCGGCACCCATCTGTCATCCTAGCTACCTGCCGTCCCAGGCAGGAGGGAGCAGGCTCCAGGCCAGCCTCCACAACGTAGCCAGACCCTGTCTCAAAGTAAAAACTACAGTGGGCTGGGGTGTAGCCCAGTGGTAGAACACCCCTGGGGGCCATCTCCAGTGTCCCCCAGCAAACACTTTAACCCACAGACAGCCATCGGTATTTGGACTAATGTGATCTTTTGTTCTGTTAAGATGGTTTTTTCTAAAGTATGAGAGTACATACAGAGAGCCCCTCCTGACCTAGATCCAGTTCAGCCCACGTGTGCTTAAGAATTGTTGCTCCCTCCCCAAAAGGTTTAGGTTCTGTACATGTGAAGTCTCCCCGCCAGTCCCGACAGCAGGGGAGTGTCGGGGTCATCTGAAGAGGAGCTGTGCACCCACCTCTAATCCTGAGTACAGAGGTCCTGGACTATACTGCACCTGCAACGCAAGTGGACTTCACCTCTGCTCCCATAGGAAAGGTGCAGCTCTGGGAATGGGCGTCACCCGATGGGGTGAGTGACACCCACCTGTTTGTTGTAATCCTACCCTTCTGCCCTTTTTGACTAGAATGTTCCATGGATTAGCTCCCCACAGGGGAGAATCTGTGGAATTTTCATTTCCTGTCAAGGGTGGTCCTTGCCTAACAGAGACCCCAGCACACAGTAGGCACCTGCAGTGTTGAAGGAAGGCAGGTTGGACTTCTGAAGACGGCAGGCACTGCCCCTCCCGCCCCCACTTTCTTGGAAGGTCCTGCCTGATCTCTCCGTGCCTGGTCTGCTCTCTGAGTGCACCTAGCACCACGTGGTGACTGCAGCAGAACTACCTTCCTCCCCTGAACACTCTGTGTGTGGGATTTGGTGAATTCAAAGGGCCTAAACTGCTTGGTCACTTTTACTTTGGGGCAGTGCTGGGGATTGGACCCCAGGCCTCACTTAGGCCTGTATTCTACTCTGAGCTACAGCCAGCCCCACGTGGACTTCCACTTAGGCAGGCAGCCCTGCGTGGATGGCCAGCCTTCTGCTGCCTTTCATTTAGGAAAATCTGTTTCCTATTTGATGTTGTGGGAATTTTCGTTCTCTGAACAGGAGACAACCGAGACTGTGAGGGTCAACAAGGTCTTTGCATTGTCCTTGGGGAATACCATCGTGGGGTGGCACCTTCCGGGGGAGTAAATCCCCTGTGCACACACATGGGTAGCCTGCGGAGCTCCTGGATTTTGTGGTATGTTCTGGAAGTGGTAATCTTTAAAACTGTGCCCTGGAGCCGGAAGGACTTAATTCGTTTTTAACAGGTGAAGTTTCCTTCCAGAATCTACTTACTTCTCCCATATTCTCCTTTTTAGTTTATATAGAAAATAGAAAGGCACATAGCAGTTGGCCCACCCAGGCCACCTTGAAGACTGACCTCTGACCACTGCTTTCTGACTGACAGTTGATCCTTTGAGGTGCTATTTTCCTAAATTCACCCCCAGGAGAATCTGAGTTGATGGACACACGGTGCTTATCTGCTCAAGTGGCCAGGATATCTAGAATTCTCTTTTAACCAGGAGGTGGATGGTCTTCCTGTGTCGTGAGTGAGGCTGGGGGGCCTCTGTGGCCCAAACAGGGCTGCAACATGCTTGTTGTGATGAACTGTCCCACCTCAGTGTCCTCTGGCCCTGCAGAAGCCGATCGTCAGAAGAGCCAACGGCAGCTGCATGCGACGTACAGCGGTCCACATTTCAAGAGCCAGATATGTGATTGACAACAGTACACACGTAATCCAATTAAGGGGAGGGTTTTTAATTACTGTAGGTGATAAGCACATTTACTACTAGGAATGACAGGTGTCCCAGGCAGGGACGGTCATCATTGTCAGCTGCGGTTGTTTTGTTCTGCCTTGCAAATCACCAGGATGATGGATGTGTGCCACTTAAGATTTGTTAACGTAGGAAGCAGAAGGACTTTCAAAAGTCCCTTTTCAAGAGTAGTGCTGAACCTGCCCGCCTGCTCCCTCCCCTCCTCAGGCCCTCCCTCTTCTTTCACCCCCAGTTTCCAGAAAATGGTCAGCGCCCTTCAAGACCACGTAAAGGGTGGAATGCCATTTGCTGAAAGTCGTCGCATTTCTCATTTACTTGTGCAGAAACGATACCAGACTGAGCCGGTGCAGTAGGCTCCTCGTGGTCTTCCTGCTTCTGATCTGCTTGTCCCTAATCCCTCCAAAAAAATAAAAATAAAAAAAGTAGTCTTTCCAAAACGTCAGTGGCATTCTCCTCCTGCCCTTACAGTGATGAAAGCTGTGGGGTGCCTCTTCAGCTTCCCAGAGGAGCCTCCCTCTGCACGTACGTCCTGCTTGACCATGGCTGCCTGTCCTCTGCCCACGGGCATCTCTGTCCTTGAGCCTGGTTCTCCCCACGGGCACAGCAGCACCCTCCTGTTGGAGGTGGTGTCCTCTGCCCGGACAGCCCTTCCTTCATCCGGGCAGAGACGTCCTCCATAACCCGCAGGGAGTTGCAGGGCCTGCTTCCTTCACAAGCCCCTCTGGGGCCTGGACCCTCACCCAGCCCAACCTCCGGGCTATAATGTCCGCAGCTGCCTGCCGTGTGGGGAGCAGTACCCTGACCCGCTGGCCTCCTAACTGTGGGAGTGAACGCTGGGCTTACACCTCCAGGGGATGCGGGAACACAGGCCCCTGGTGGACCAGAAGTCTCAGGTGGTGTCCCTGGAGGGGGCACCAGGGCTGCTCTCAGAGGAAGTCTCGGGTGTCAGGATGCTGCTGTGGCGCTTGCTCCTCTGCTCCTGCACGCGTCCTGCCCCATGGTCTCCTGCACTTCCCGTCTCATGACCTCTCCTCACTAGCCTTCCTGCCTTGTGCTCTCTTCTCGCACACTCTGCCTGTCTCCACGTGATCTCCTCTGGCACTCTTTCGCTGTGACACTGTGACGCTGGGACGCAGGATGCAGTGCAGCCTAGGGGCCTCGCCAGAGCTGAGCAGAGGCTGTGGCCACCCGCTGTTCCTCCAAAGCTGGGATCAATCAACCTCATTTTGAAAAACAAGTTACCAAGCCTCAGGTGTTTTGTCAGAGCAGTAGAAAACAGACCAGTGTGAACACCAGCCCGTCCTTCTTCCCCACACTGAATACTGCCCTAGAGTGTGAGCCTGTCACAGCGTCCTTTGTGAGCTGTGACAGCTGTGGGTGTCTCCCTACCTGGCTGCTCACTGAGGCTCCCACTGTACTGACTGCCTCAGGGGCCCCTCAGCCTGGCCCACTCTCAGTTGCTTGGGTATTGGTTGGCAGAAACCCGAACCAGTTCTCCAATGATGGGCAGATTGGGCTTTGTTTCCTCAACCACTGGTTGAAAGGAGGCTGCCTTCCCTGTGTGACTCCAGCCTCGGGAACAACCTGTATATATGCTCACTGCCTCTCTTCTGCCTCTAGGGTCCCCCTTTTCCTCCCGGGACCCCTTCTTCGTCATCTCTACCCTTTTCAACATCTATGTCAGAGAGACTTTGAGAACCTCAAGGTCCAAGAGCTTGCCTTTATTATTCTCTGTGCCTGTGGTCCCTAAAATAGACACAGTAAGAGTTGATGGGCATTCGTTCAGCCAGCAGAACGGACAGGCTCCAGGTCTGGCGCTCGGGGTCCCGCCCCTTCCGCTCCAGGGCCACGGGTGCTTGGTGAAGGCACCTGAGAGCTAGCTGCTCGTCTGTCTTCCCAGCTCAGAGTAAGGCTGACCCTGGGCAACTTTCACCATTATTTTAACTGTCTTCTAGTTAGGAGGGACCTTTTGAGGTTGGCCTAAGAGCCTTGTCACTAACATTGATGGAAATGACACCGCTGTGCTCAGGAGAATCCGGCTCTGGCAGGTGGGTGACATCCCTGCTCATGAGAGACTTGGATACCGACGCCTTGAGGGTTCAGGTGTTGGCAGCTGTTGTGCTGACAGGGGATGGCCAGAGGCAGGACGCCCTTGTTTCCTGCTGAGTTCTTTATGGTGGGATTGCAGTGGCCAGGAGGGCGGCCCGTCTTTGCCTGTGGGAACTGGACCCAGACACGCCTTTGGGCACTGGCACTTCCTTCCCATGTGCCTTTGGGCTCCATACCTCTAGTCTGATGGCAGATAGGCTGGTTCTGAGAATCAGGAGCACACCACTGAGTCTGCGTGCGTCGTAGTGCCCCCCTCACCCGTGGCTCCTGCTCCCCGCCCCGACCACCAGGCCCGTAGTAGAGCATGGTGCCTGTCAGACATCAGTGAAGCCACATTCCATCACGGCCAGAGCGGCTGCCAGGCATGTGCTCTCCTATGGCTCCTTCAGGGACTTAGAATTGAGGGTGCCTAGGAGAGCCAGGCCGTGCTTACACCACTGCCCAGACGCCAAGGGCAAGCAGTGGCCATGGAGCTGCGTGAGAAATCCCCACGTCTCCCTGAATAGATCAAAGGAATGTCAGAGCCACCCCCGGCTGCTGCAGTGACTCACTGCTTCCCAGAACTACTGTTAAAGCCTCGTGTCATCGTTTAAATGCAATTGTTTTTGTCTCTGGTAACAAAATACTGATGCGTCTTAACCATCATTGAAATCGCGGGTTCAGTGAAACCCTCCCTGTGGCAGGTCCAGTTCCCCCGCCCCCCAGCGGCCCCTCCACTGCACCTGTCTTGTTATCTCCATGGAAAACACGTGCAGGTGGCGGAGTTTACCACCACATTTAGAACACAGCCTGGCTGTGGTCACTGATGGCACCTTTACTGAGTGCTTGGGTCCTGTTTCACGTACACCCTTCTCCGACTCCCAGTGCCTTGTGCGTTTAGCTAAAACCTATGTGAAACTCCTCACAGTGTAATCGATCTCACGTGGACCCTCCAACAGCAGGCCGTGTTGCCTTTTGTTCCTTGATTGCTGAACAGGGACATTCAGAAAAGCTTTACTGTCATCAAGAGAATCGCAGCCACGGGACTCGGGGAGGTCCTGTGAGCAGCGTATCTCCGCATCAGATTGAAACCAAATAAGAGGACAATGTGGGGTGGACAGATGGAGGTTGAAGACCAGACAGTGAAGAGCACTCAGTCAGAGGACGCTGTCACTGGTGCCCATGATAGGAGGGCCAGTCGTTCACCAGACTCATCCCTTGCTGACTGCCCCAGAGCCAGAGCTGACCACTGAAGGGCACCGTCATCAGACCTGGGGGAGCTGGTCAAAATGCACATGCTTTGTAAACAGCCTGGCTCTCAAAACAGAAGGAGAAAAATGGCTGGGAAAGGCAACCTGTCTCTTCCCATGGCCTGGGGAGGGATGGTGAGGGCTGCGGGGACACACCAGGAGTGCCCCTCCAGTAGGAGGACCCTCCAACATAGTAACGAGGTCACCAGACAGAGATCTCCCGTTTCTGTAGTTTCCCTCATTCCAGCTCAAGCCAGAGGCAGTGGACTGGGCCAGACAGAGCCAGAGGGGAGACTGCATTAACCTGAGCTACTTAACCCTAACCCTAACAGCATAAACCTAACCCTAACACCTTAACCCTAAAACAAATACCCTAACCCTAACTGCCTAATCCTAATACCCTGACCCTGAAACCCTAACCCTAACCCTAACTCTAACACTAACAACCTAACCCTATCCCCCTAACCCTAACCTAAACACCCCAACCCTAATACAAATACCCTAATCCTAAAAAAA